ACATGAGTGGCATCATACTGAGCTGGCTAGTCACACCTGGCGTTACTGTCAATGGTGACTACTGCAGGTTCGTCCTCAAAGACAAGCTGACACCTGCGATCAGGTAAAAAAAAGACCCGCTTTGCTTGAAGAAGGCGTCATCCTGCATCATGACGACGCGCCTGTTCACGAGTCCAGAGTGGTGAACGAGCTTCTTGGGGGCTACTCGTGGGAATCATTGGAACACCCGCCCTATTTGCCCGATCTCGCCCCATGCAACTTCCACCTCTTCCCCAAGGTGAAAGAAATGCTGTGAGATTGGCGATTTGAGGACGAGGACCAGATTCAAGAGGCTATGAGAAAAGCATTCGGGACCTTGGACAAATGAATACTGACCGCAGGGTACATCAAATGGAAAAATGTCTTCAGCTAAATGGTTCCACCGTTGAATGGGTATTTGAATAATCTTTCTGTTGGTGCTAAATACACGGTGAATTATAATTACATGTGAGGACAGCATAACAGGGAAACTTTATTCTGAGACAGACCTCGTACATTGTCCAGACAGGTCTCAGCTTGGTGCAACAGGGATGGGAGGACCACAGCTTTGTAGACTTTCACCTTTGTCTCAGTGCAAGTGCCACAGCAGTCCCGAAGGGCAGCGGGAAATTGGGGAGGTTTTAATCCTATTGTCTAAAAGTTCAAAGGAGTTTTCCAAAAACCTGTTGGAAAACTGCGCGGGGATTTTCGGTATCGAGTATTTCTTAGGTATTCGACAAAGTATCCACTTGAAATTCTATAAGTAAAAGTTTAATTTAGCAGACCTCTTCCGTTAGCCAGTTATCAAGACTGTTATTTCATTGATATTTTTTCAAGATAAAACAGTCTTGATACGTGTTGCTCCCTGCTCACCACGGGGAGATGGAAGACGGATTTCGAGCATGTTACTGTCTTGAGAAGAGCACATTTCTTAAAAATCGCTGATTAAAATACTTGATAAAAGGGGAGAGAAAAGCGATATTTACATTCTCACAGGAAGAGTTCTTTGGGCCATCTTGTCCTGGAACTCTGCTTGCGTTAGCTGTTGACTCTGATAAGCTGTAATGAACTATATATTATTGTACCCCGGACACCCAACCTGGTAGTAAGGTCTACAGTACTACCTAAACTGTTTTCAGCGAACACTCGTAGTCGAGGTCGCAATTTTGTATTTGAAATGAGTGCCATATTAAGACGTGTGAATTGGGAAATTAACGTATGAGCTAGATTTTTATAAACGCGTTTAGACAAAAATGAAGCAGCTCAAGTAATAAATTCTTAATCGGTGTGTGTGTGGGGGGGGGTTGGATGGTTGTTTACCATCCTTACTAATTTGCATATACCATCCTTACTAATTTGCATATAGACAGATTTTTATTTTAAAGCAAAAGACATGCATGTATAGGCCTACATTCATCCGATCCCGTTCGATAGGAGTTTTTATTTATTTTTTTTCTCTTGAATATTGTCAAGATGTTGTTATGGCCAAAAATATCTATCACCAAAACCTTTGGCTGCATCTTGATAAAGCTTTTTGCAAATGTGACGTGAATTATTCGATTCGTACACCCTCTGCCTGAATTTGCTACTGTAGTCTTTGGATTTCCACAGATGTTCATGGGATGTGCTCATTTCAATAAAGAAAAGAACAGTGTATTTTGACGAAGTCGCCACACTGCTCAGTGACAGCGCAGTGTTTCGGTAGATGCTTTGACGTTAGATCCGCAACGCACGAGGTGACCTTGATATAAAGTATGACTTCGCTGTCAATCGAAAGTTTGCTAAAGTACATCAAGCCATGTTCATCGCGGGGTACTTTACTTGTTTTGTTACCTTGGGCTGTGATTTTATTTTTTTATTTTTTTGAATTCACGCAACATTAATCCCGCACGGCGGTGAATTTTAAAGGAATTCTGCGTCCCAGCTTGTAGCTCTTTCTAATCTGACCTAGATCGCACAAAAAATGTCGTGCGACGCTTTAGGTGCTGCCAGAAATGAGTGCCATGTTCAGTTACCTGCCAATTGGGAAATTAACGTAAGAGCTAGATTTTTATAAACGCGTTTAGACGAAAAGGAACGATCTGAAGTGTAAAATTCTTAATCTAGGTGTGTGTGTGGGGAGGGGGGGGGTACCATTTTTACTAATTTGCATATAGACAGATTTTCATTTGGTCGGAACACAAAGTTTTATATTACTGTTGTATTGTTGTATTGTAAAGCGCTCAGAGCCTGTTTACTTAAAACGAAATTGAGGGCTATATAAATGTTATTTATTATTATTATTATTATCTGTTATTTATTATTATTATCATCATCATCATCATCATCATCATCATCATCATCATCATCATCATCATCATCATCAATCAAAGGGGTTATTTCAATAACGTACCTAAGTGACACTAGGGTAGTTTTTGAGAAAAAGGCCAAAAACTGTTTCTCGTGAATATAGTATTGCACTGGGAAAGGTCAGCTAAAACAGGGGGCTCTGAAAATTAAAGATACTGTCTCCATAGAAGGCTGACTGGGTACAGTCCCCTTCCTTTTATCATCCTATGCAAAAATCTCGATTTTCGCAAAAATGGACTGAGGTACGTTATTGAAATGACCCCTTCTTAAATTACATCAATCATTTTAAATTTCCGAAAGATTGCAATGCCCCATCATACTTTGGGGCAAAACTTTTAGATCACACCCGTAATCAGAAATACGTTTAGTATGTTTCTGTAGGACAACAATTCCAAGCTTTATTACTTTTGGAATTGCATGTTACAACGGCAACATCTCTTAACTCTTATAATATAACAGCAATTACGTTTGGGCAGAATAATAATATGGAAGGTAGCAAAATTGTTAAACGATATAATATATATATATATATATATATATATATATATATATATATTATAAGATTCACCGTATCCGAAAACGGTATGTTTTATTGAACTGTGTAGTCTGTTTACACGTTCCGATCTACCGTCCAATTCTCTTATGACTACATGGTGAGGAGTGAGAATCATTCTCCTTGATTTAGAAATGTTCCATGTCTCTTTGAAACGACAGCCATTTGCTTGCA